CAGTGTTGGGCTCCTCAGTATGAGATGGATATTTATCTACTGGAGCAAGTCCAGCAGGGTTTACCATGGTGGTGAGATGGGGTAGAGCACATGCTATATGAGGAAGGGAACTAGATATTTTCACCTAAGATAAGAAGGAAAATCTTATTAGGGCCATTCCAACTTATATTATTACTCTGAGATTCTCTCAAGCTCAATATTTATATTTCCTCTTTCTTGATTATTATAAAAGAAAACAATATATTATGATATTATTATATATTATTACCATATAGTAATAATATTTATTTTATATATTTGTTGTTTATTATAATAAATAGTGGATTTATATAGATACACTCTTTATATATATGTGTAATGTATTTTATTTAAATATGTACATAAAACCTCCCATTTCAGGAAGATCTTTCCTCCTTTTGTGAACAGAAGGTGATTTTATCCCCTTGCAAAACGTGAAACTGAGCTGCATTGCTGGTGCTGGTGGGCTGCCAAGAGGCTTTTCCTGCAGCACTAGATCTGAAGTTGGGGGCATCTCTGCACCCCACAAGAAAGAAGGGTTCCAGCTTCCCTGTGTGCCTTCCACCGGCAGGCTGAACACCGGTTGCACTGGGTGTTTCTTTAGCTGTAGCTCTGCCTGGCTGTATCCTACCAAGAGAATGAGTACCTAGCTGACCTACAGTAAGTCCAAGTCTGCACCTGGGTTAGGTTTCAGAGGATTTGGCTGTAGTAAATCTTTATGTAAAAATTCAATGCCTATTTCTCCTTTAAATTTGAATAGTGTAAATCCAAAGTAGCTACATCTCCCAAAGTAAAATATTTTTATTCAATTTCCTTTTTACTTTCTTTCTTTTTAAAAGGAAAAATAATTGAATCCTCAGTGTTTCAATCTGAACTCTACAAATATTACTTTGGTCTTTTAAGTCAATGAACTTTGTGACAGCATTCCTTGTAAAGGTTAAAGCCTTTCCAGACAAGTGATTAACAACTGTGATAAGCCCTTCCATGAGACATGAGTTTTGCAGCCTGTTGTGTGGTATCCCTGTCTGAGTCTGTAATTGTCTAAATATAAAGAGATAAAAGGGAAAGGGACTGCCAAACTGCACTGTATAAGGTAAAGCGAGTCAGAGGGAAAAGGTTTATAATTTTTCTTCCTTTTACGTTGCTGGCTTGTTCTTATCTTTAGCCAGAAGATGCTAACATCATTTCCTCTCTATAAATTGGCTTGCACATGATACAAAAACACAACATGAACTTTCTTTTCTAGCTTAATAGAGGTTTTGATGCTTCAGTGTTTGGATATTCAAGAATCCTGATTTAATTTAAGAACTGTTAGAAAGTTATTTTACCAAGCCAGTGAGTATGCATATCGCCTCAATAGGCCTTATTTTTTAACTAAGCAATCTTTAAGATGGAAATTTGGATTTAATTAGAACAACGAATGTTTTCAAAGTGATGATAACAGGACTTTCTTTGAGCTAGCATGTCTACCTCTTTTGTTGCCTTCCTAGTTGAGTTTGAAGTGCGATTGGTCCAGGATTTTAACAAAACTGTGACTGTTGAAGCAGATTCAGAAAGCAGTTGTTCCCCTCTTCAATTGTAGATGAGTACCAGAAAAAAATCCCACAAACAGTTTTAAAAGCTTTCATTAAGTTTTTTAACAGGGATTCAGATTATTAGTGATTCACCTGCTCATGAATGAAGTATGAAACTTGTTTGTATTGCTCCCATTGCTGTGCCATCTGGGTAAGTCATGTGAAATAAATGATAGCGACAGGCAAAAAGCCCCATGATTTCACAAAAGGTAGCAAGAAAATCAGTGAATTGCTGCTGGTTTTTCCTCTTAAACAATCTCCCAATTTTGACATTTAGTTATTTTATTTGCAATTTAGCTATCGAATTAATTGAAAAGGTATGTCCTGCAAACACATTTTAGAGTTCACGTAAGAAGCTGGGGATCTCCCACGTTGGTAGTCAAACAGTTAATCACAAATGGGAACTTCAGGCCCACAGGTGGTCATTTAAGTGAACATTTAACAGATAGGACATCATACGGGAGGCCACATTAAAAAAAAATCCCTGTGCTTCACATGGGTTCTGCCACCAGGTATCCCTGAACAGACCTTTCAGAGACTGCTTGGTGCCACAGTGGATAACTGGAGCTGATTTTAGTGTGAGCATGTCAGGCTCTGGACTGTTTTTGTGTCTGGATGTGACAGGCTATCAGATGTCTCAGAAGGGCTTTGGCTGGCTGAAGACTTCAGTTTCTTAGGGGCAGTTCAGCTGCTCAGTGATTGCCTGCTCCTGTCAAGAAGCACTGTTAATGCAGTTTTGAAAAGTACTGCAGGATGAGCACAAAGACTGTGTGGGTCATGGGTAGCTAGGTGAGCCCTCAGTACAGACATTGTGCAGCTTAGTCTACGACTGCAATGTCTTGCTTTTGTCCTTTTCCAAACTGTCCAAAGCAGCATGCAGGCTTAAAAGTGCCCACAGGAGTCCCAAGTGTCATTTTCTATTAAGCAGGAAACAGCATTGTTTTAAACGCAGGTTTTCTCAAAGCTGGTGTTTGTTCTGGAGCGAGAAGAAAGCAGCCATGGTATGCACCTTCAGTGGAAAGCACCTCCACTTCCAGGCCCGATTGACTCTTTTGTGAGGAGTTGGATAAGCTCTGAAAATTGATGATGAACTGAATTTAGTGTCCTCCTAGGACGTAAATGACAAGCAAAACATAGCTTTCCTAATCACTTCTTTTCTCTGGGGCTGTTTCTAAGTGCCATTTATTCCTTACAAAACCATCTGTTAGCTTGTTAAGCACAGGAAGGTGATACCTGCAGACAGCACCTGAAATCAGCCAGCCTGAGCCTCAGTCTAGTGCAACTGCAGTGGGCTGCCTTAAGGCTTCACAGGATTTGCAGGGTGGCAGGTGCAGGGGGCCAGCTCCTTATCGCAGCAGCTGCCATGGCCAGCAGGCAACAATCTGAGCAAAGGTACTGCCAAAGGTTCTTTCTTCTTCCTGGAAGAGAGATTTGCAAAAACAGACTTAAGCCTGGTGTGTCCCCCACTGATTGCTGTCAAATGGAGACGTATGGGAACTTTGCCGTGCAGCACTTATGTGTACATTCATCCTGTTGCCGCCACATGGCCGAGACTTGAGGTCTTAAGCACCATCAAAAGTAATAGCTAAGCTTTCCTTTCTAAGGAAAAAAAAAACAAACACCTAATCAGGTTACAAGGTAGTATGTAAATAGTTATCTGGGAAGTATGTTAATGCTAGAATAGTTTATAGTAATCTGGTATAACTCCTACTTGCAAAGTAACTTTACAAAAAACGTGGAGAGTTTTTGGAAATTCCTCCACTATGTTTGTTGAACAATTGAAATTTATTCCTAAGAGAAATGTCACTGGAGACCAGCAGCACTGTGGTATTGGCCTGACAGGCAAATACACAGATGTATAGTACAATTGCAGGGAAGCGATTTGCTGTGTTATCAGGTTTCAATTTTTTTTTAATTTGACTACCCCATGTATCTGTGAAGTATCACTGCAGCAGTACAGTTGCAAATTAGACTAACCAAGGGTATTAAGGAACCTGGTCAGGTTTGTCACTGGGATTTCCTGGCTGTCAGCCCTAAAATTCAACAATTTGACAACACATCAAGCCTGAAAAACATCTAGCTTCAACAGCAGAATATTTTGCATTGCTAGTAGTGCCATTGTGTGCGTTAAGCTCAATTCTGCATGAGTGAGTAAACCCCAAGAAACTAGGGAAATAGTTGGGATCACTGTTGACACTGAACTGTGTGTTAATAGCAGCAAGCTGCATTGTAGTTCATTACTTTCAAGTGAGTTCTAGTACATCCCTGTGAGTGGCTGTGTGAACACAGTAGCTTGAGTCTATGCATGTTGCAATTGCAGTCTATTTTAGAATATAGACACAGTCACTGTCTTCTGACTGTGTAGATCTATGAAATTACTAATAATGATTTTTTGCTTCTTAGGAGAGTCGGGTTGCGAGGACTTGAAAAAAAAAGTGGAAATGGGAATTAGCCAATATTGACAGAAATGGTATAATAATCCATATTTAAATTGAGAGTAATTTAAATTTAAATCAGTATCAATTCCCCTAGTAAAAGCCCTCTCAATATGTAGAGCCCTGCCTATTAAAAAATCCTCCCCTCAAATAAAGAGTTGGCTTTTCATATACCTGATCATGTAAATTAATCATACTTGATTGTCCCTAAAAATCCTTAGTCAGCTCTTTTAGCCAAATGATCCTCTCTGGTAATGGGAGCTCTGTGGTGAAATTGATAGAGTTTGGCTATTGATTTCCATTAGATCCATTTTACTAATGCTGAGTCTTTGATGTATACTCAGTCCTAAGGACATACAAAAACCTGAGTTTGAAAACTTCCAGGCAGAATGCTCAGTTCCAGTAAATCACACATTTTGTGACAGGGTGGGATAGCTGGAGATTAAACACACTTCCTCCCAAGTTGTGTTTAATAGTGAAGTTCAATCTATTTAATAATTTAGGGATTAAATAGTAGCATTATAAGAAGAGAAGAAAACATAAGGAGAAAGTCATCCCATCACACAGCATTTTGACAGGATTAAAGGCTCAGAGCAAAAAGAGGAAATAAATGTGTTGAGAAATAAATATATGCTTTGTTAGCTCAGTAGGTTCTGTGTACATCAGGCTTTGGGCAGCAGTGCTCGGGGTATGCAGAGGTGGGATGTTCACCCTTTTGTTACTTGTGCCAGTATTAAGCTTTCATTTGGATTCATTGTCTACTGGGGCTTCCCTAGGAGAGCACTGTCCAGTGAATGAAATTCTCAGCTGACTACCTTTCATTTTTTTCAGTGCTGTTGTTACAGCTTAATCTCTTCTCTTCATGAGTTACTACCAGATGTGGACTGCTGGGCTTGCCTCTTGCCCAGTGTCATTTCACACATCTGGGAATGCTGCGGTTTGGAGAATGACAAGTTGCACTTTTTTCTTCCAGTTTCGCCTGGTGGTAAAGACAGCACTGAAGCTGCTGCTGGTGTTTGTGGAGTACACAGAATCCAATGCACCGCTTTTGATCCAGGCAGTGTCTACTGTGGATGAAAAGAGAGGTGAGTAGTCTTACCAGGGGTTCCAACATCCCAGCACCACTGAAATTGAGGTAGCATTTCATCACCACTTTCAGTGGTTCTAGAGTTGCTGTCATTGATGCCTGCTTTGTCCAACATACCCTTCATTTCTTAAGAGCATTTTTTAAGTATTCGTAATATCTAAGGTTGTTTGAAGAATTAATTTTAATGGGAAAGTGAAGAGTGAAAACTGAGGAACTTGATTGCCTCCTGGGGTGCCAGTCCTTGCCCTTTCCCTGCACCCACATGCTAAGTAAAGCCCCTCCGTATCTTCCGGCCTCAGAGACTCCTTTGGGCAAAACCGTCTTTCCACTTCCTTCTGGGAAGCAGCAGTCTGATTTAGAAGAGAAAATGATATCTAATCAGTGTAATCCCTTTGAAGAGAAAGACGAGGTCAGTAATAGTACAGGCTTTATAGTAAAAGCAAAACCATCTGTTCTTACATTAAAATAAAGCCCTTGAGCAGATATTATACTATGAAATCTGTTACCCGTCAGGCTCATGAAAAATACTTGAATATGTATACTGTATTTTTTACAAATACACAGAACAAAAATGGTTCTTTCTTGTTCTTCCCACAAAGCCATCACTAACCTCCTGGGGCATTTTCTTTTGATGCAAAACATTCCTTTGCCTCCAGGAGAGTTTTTGAGGTTAGGAGATCCATTGTTGTGGTCTCAAACATGGAGGTTGAAAGCAAGGTTCCCTCTGTGGAGCAACTGCCTCCATACTGAACTTGTCTAAGAGACTTGATATGGTAAAAGTAAAACAAGAAAGTGTTGGGGGCTGGGGAGAAAGTGGTGCCAGAAATAAGAAAAATGAGCCAGATTTTGTTTTCAGTTATCAAAATGGGTTGAAAAGAAAAAAGCCAAATTATCTTTAATAGCAGGGAAGCAGGCAGAGGCAATTCAAAAGAGTGAATTCTTCAGGTTGGCTTTCTGTTTTGAATTAAAACAAGTAAATTTTACAATGCAATGATATATAATTATATAAATAAATATAATTACAATATTGATGTACTTGTGAGCACTGTGATTCATTTTTTCAGTCATTCTTAGTATTTCATCATCTTTCTGAACTCACTGGTATTCTCAATAAGTTCAAACTGCCCTTTATCTACTAGCATGCTAATAAACTCATTAAAGAAGAAAGGAGGACCCTAAACAAAGTGTTCCCTTCTCTGTCTGTAGAACGGTCTTAGGCAATCATCTACATGCCCCAAAGTAATAAAACAACTTAAGTAATAACACAAGACTTGAAAAAACGAATGCATGTAATTAGATGAGTGTATGTTAAGAATATAATGAGAGGTTTTTCAGGAATTATCATACCTGTGCTTTGGTAGATTATTTCATGAACTCTTGCAAATACCTTAGCCCAAATACTCAGATTTTCCTTCTTCCTATTTTTTAAAAATTATTTTCATTAAGGAGTTGTACTTAGCTCCTTAAGAGATTATCTTTCTGGTTTTATATTTAGTTCTCTTTTTAGATCACCAACATAATAGAGTCACAGAATCATTTTGGTTGGAAAATACTTTTAAGATCATTGAGTCAAACCATTAACACAGGATTGCCAAGTTCACCACTACACCATGTCCCTTACTGCTACATCTGCATGTCTTTTAAATACCTCTGGAGACAGTGAAGACAGAAGTCCACCACTTCCCTGGGCAGCCTGTTCCAAAACCTGACAACCCTTTTGGTGAAAAAAATTCTTCCTAATATCTAATTTAAACCTCCCTTGATGCAACTTGGGGAAATTTCCTCTCATCTGGTCTCTTGTTAACTGGGAAAAGAGGACAACCCCCACCTGGCTACAGTCTCCTTTCAGGAGTTGTAGAGAGGTAATGTTCCCCTGAGCCTCCTTTTTTCCAGGCTAAAAGAACCTCAGCTCCTTCAGCCACTCCTCATAAAGCTTGTGCTCCAGACCCTTCACCAGCTTTGTTGCCTTTCTCTGGACACACTTCAGCACTTCAATGTCCTTCTTGCAGTGAGGGGCCCAAAACCAAACACAGGACTCAAGATGAAGCTTCACCAGTGCCAAGTACAGAGACAATGACTTCCCTGGTGCTGTTGGCCACACTATTCCTGATCCAGGCCAGGATGCCATTGGCCTTCTTGGTCACCTGGGCGTATGCTGGCTCATGTTCAGCCACTGCTGACCAGCACTCCCAGGTCCTTTCCTGACAGGCTGCCTTCCAGCTCTGCCCCCAGTGCTGCATGGAGCAGTTGTGACCCAAGTACTAGGACGCTGCTGATCTTCATACAATTGGCCTCGTCCCATTGATCCTCCTTATCCAGATCCCTCTGTAGAAATTTGTTGCCTTCAGCAGATCAACTCTGCTGTCTAACTTGGTGTCACCTGCAAACTGACTGAGGGTGCCCTCCGTCCCCCCATCCAGGTCATTGATAATAATATTAAACAGGAGTGGCCCCAACACTGAGCCCTGGGGAACCCTAAAAGTGATCATCTGCCAGCTGAACTGAACTCTGGGAACTCCTGCTCTCTAGGCCAATCATCCAGTCAGTTTTCTACCCAGTGAGCAGTACACCCACCCAAGCCATGAGCAGCCAGTTTCTCCAAAAGAATGCTGTGGAAGACAGTGTCAAAGCCCTTCACTTTTAGATGTGGATGTGCTGTGTTTTAATTTATAATTTTAAATTAGTGGCTTATAAATGAGAAGTACCCACTTTTAATGACTGGTGAAACAAAACAGAAAAAAAGAAAAAAGCAATATGCCTTTTCTTGAACTGTTGTCATAAATCTTGCAGGTATGTAATTAAGTTCAGCACTGCTTTGATAAAAGTTCAATGTTTCATGTACATACAAGGTGATGAGATATGACATAATTCTTCAACATGTGTACCACACATGATTAACTTAGAGAACCCCATATTAACTCAGTCTGGTTTCAAAGCCATCCCATCTGTGGTTTATATGTGTGAATACATCCATATGCAAACTGAAATACAGAGATCCACAGTACTGGCTTTACTCTGAAGTACAAGCAGACCATAAATGAATAACTGCATGGCCCTCATCATGTAGGAATTAGCTTCTACTTGCACTTCCATTTAGCTCCTCCCTTCTCCCACGCTTTCTTGTTTCAGAACTCCAGAGGAATTTGGTCTCTTTTCAGTTTAAGCATACCAAACCGCAAAGGCTCCAGGAAGTGGAGCTGGCATTGCACTCTGCTGTCTAGGGCTTCTTTATCACAATCATATTTTAGGACGGAGATTAAAGCCAAATGGCCCTCATTATCAGCTCTCTGCTTTTCCTGCAATTTCATTCATAGTTATATTCCACTAAATTAACGCATGTACTGCAGGTACAATGGAAAGATGTAAGTTCATATATAAATAGCCAAAAGTACACTTCCAAAAGTATCACTGCCTTTCCCGCCTGTAGCTGCTGGTGGCAGTTCTCATGCAGAATTCTGCCCTTGTGCAAGATATTTCATGCTTTATACAAACTGTACAGATGTTTTGTAGTTGTGGTGTCAAAGTTTTGTGTATGACATGAACAAAAGCATTAAAATAAATATGTAAAAACATTTAAAGAGCAAACTGAAAAAAGACTGGGACAATGGGCAATGTTATTCAGAAAATAGACTATATTAATTTAATAGCAGCTTGATTGTTGCATCGTTCCTTGTCTATACACCATGCATGGTTACTTGTAATCTACAAGTAACATCAGAGCTGAGGCTACAGCCTCCCTGTCAGAATACATGTGATAAAGAGCTCTTCCTAGTGGCAAGGCTCTAAAGGGCAGTGATGCAGTTCTCATTTTACCCATTAGAAGGCAGGAGAACACACAAAACTCAATCGCTGCTGTTTCACTTCACTGAGCCTTTTTCATCAATCCCATCGATTTTGCCACAAGTCCTGCATAAAAGTCATAACCTTATGGAAACATCCCCATCTGCTTCCAGAAAAATCACTTGGATGCTATATCATCATTCTTCTAAATCATCATTTTTCTGCATCAGGATCTGGTGAAGGAGGAAATTTACCTATTCCCTAAATAGAATCAAGAGGAGGCTGTACTGTCAATGGCTTTGGCAGAGCTACTCCAATGTGTACAAGATGAAACCTTTCTTTTCAAATGCAATTTTCCTCTTTATGATCTTAATCTGAACAGGTCTCTTTTCATTTTAAGTGTGCTGGACTGCACAGGCTCTGGAAGGGGGGGGATGAGCTGGATCTGCCCATGTCCCATGCTGTATGGATCATAGGTTGGAAACTGTAGATTCTCATTATATATATTCAAGAATATTAACCCAAGGACAGCAAAGCAGTAAGCTCATGTTGCAACTTCCACAGCAGAATTGCTTTATTCTGGTGGGTAGTACATGGCCTTTCAGCTATTTCCATGTTCACTTCTTGGCTGTTCAGATTGAGATCATAATGGGGGAAATAGCATTTGAAAGAAAGGTTTTCTGGTACAAATTGGAATAATTCTGTCAAAGTTGTTGATAGTATTGCCTCCTCTTGACTGTAGTTAGGGAATAGATGAAGAATTTGGAATTTAAGTCTAGATTTTGGAAGTTTAGTAGCAGAAGCATAAAGAAAGTATTTGAAAGATAGATGAGGTGTTACAGGGCTGTCTTACTAGTAAGTGTTCCCATCAACAATTTTTTTTTAAATTGTATTCTGAAATAAAATAGCAGTGTTACTAGAAGAGAATTATATATCATCTTTGCATGAAAACAGCAAGGTGACAATGAAATTTTTATTTTATGATAATGAAGAATTACTGAGACACTCAGGGAAAACAAAAAACACATGGATGCTGCCTAAAAAACAAACTAGGATTGTTCCAATAAGAGTAGAACCTGCATGCAATAACAAAGGACTCTCACTAAATAATTCAGTGGATTAAATAAGTATGTTTTCATGTTGTTACCAACTCACTGTTTTTCCAAATGGCATTATTGTGAGTCAGACTTGCATGGTTTCTCCATTTTGTTTCTCTTTCCTATTTCCTTCCATTTTTCATTTTTTCACTGAAAACCACAGGAAAACATTTTTGTAGTGAGAATATCATTCCTGCTGATCATATATCATTTGCAAGCCAAGTGAATTTGTTCCACATGACTTTTGAATATATACTGCACAAAATGTCTGGCAATATAGAGAATCTGGTAAAGAGGTGTCTAGCGTATTTTCATTACAGACATGTATTTGAATTAGTATTTAATTAGTAATGCATAGAGATACATCTTGAGAGCTGAGAGTGAATCCCCCTTCTCCTTTGATTTTGCTTAGGATAAAAAAGCCCTGGCTCAGTAGTAAAGATCAGAGACAGAGGGGGAAGTAAAAAAAGAAGTATTGCTGTCTGCATATTCACTTTTAGACAGGTTTTTCCACACACTGCACTGCCATTACCTTGAAAATGCAGATCATTGGTTAGCAGAGATTTTATGTCTGTGTAGCAGGGCACATATATGATATCATCTGTAATAATCAAGGGCTGTTACAGGGTTATACAGAGTTTAGGCCTTGGGGTGACTGATCAGTCAGCAACAGGTAGCTGTGATGGCACATCTGCATTTTGCTGCCTGATTATACTCAAAACTCTCACCATTTGTATAGTGGTCAGGGGATTTGGACTGTTGGAATACTCTGCATGTTTCTTTTTGAAATTGAAATAATGTCGCAGTTATGTTTGTGCAGTTGGATTGAGTACATCTCTAGTCTAAGGGTTAGCTCTTTGCTTAGTCCTCACCTTTAACTTTACACTTCATTGCAGTCCTTTATTATTTATTTCAGTTTTCCTAGATAAAATTTGCTAAATACAGCCATCTTGCCATTCAGTCAAATGAGATGGGACAGTTTTACGACGTTCCTTCCACACAAGAGGCTGAGTCTGGGTGGTGTGTTGCTTGCCTCATGTTTTTAGCACAATTCACAAAGCCCATTAGGGTTTAGGTATCAGAGAAATATGCAAATTCAAAACAATATGCAAATCAAGCAAATAACTAAAAGAAAAAATTTTCACCTTTCTTAGTGGAAAATGAGAGCATCACATCTGAAATTTCTGTAGGTAGGTTTCCTATTAAAGTATTTTGAGAAAGAGCCACAGCAAAAATGCTTTCTCTTCATTGATCATTTCTCTTATCCAAGACACATAGCCTGTAATTTGAGCAAACTGTTTCTCTGCCACAATGTTTTGTTAACCTGACTTACCTTAGTGCAGTACAACTCAGGAATAGCTCCAGAAATAGGAGCAGCAGGCACACTGAAAGCACAGCATGTAGGTCTCTGCTGAAGATTTATCAAAACCTAGATGAACCTATGATAGGCTGGGTAAAATTCCTATCACCTGATTTTTAGAATTTTGGTCTCAGTCACACTGTGCTAGCAAAGCTTCATTCGTCATCAAGGGAGAGAAGCTGGTACCTTTGGAGAAAGTCCACTGCCGTATTTTATATCCCTGCAATAGGCTGGACTGAAGTTTTAACTGTCGACATTAACTTCACTCTCAGGTGAGCAGGAGAGACTGTAGACAAAGCTGGATCTTTCTGCTTGAGCTTTCACCTGGCCACATATTCCAAATTTGTGCTACTTCTTGGATAAGTAGAAGCTTTTTATGTAACTCTCCATTTTGATGACTGTAACCAATGGTTTCTGCTTTTCCTCTAGGAGCCAAGCCATGGTCCAACATCATGGAGATACTGGAGGAGAAGGATGGGGTTGACACAGAACTACTGGTTTATGCAATGACCTTGGTTAACAAGGTTTGTTTCCTTTGTTAGCATGACTGGTGGAGATAAGATTAGTGTTTTCTATTGTATAATGAACTTCCCTGTTGAGAGTATATGACGGAAGAGACCTGTCACAGAGGAGTTGCAGAACAAGCTGTAATCAATCAGTGCTCTCCTGTTACTTGTGCTGCAGCCACCCAGAGGCAGCAGCCGGGAGCAGAATTGTTATTTTGGTGGATGTTGTGTGGAATTGTGGTCTGACGTGGCTCCTCTCCCAGCGCTGACAGTGCAGTGCTAAAGGAAAAGGTGACAAACTAACTCGACGGACCATCCAAGGGGAGAAGGAAAGCAAGCACTGGTGAAAAGATCACATGCTCACAAAAGCCTATGTTGCGCAGTTTTCATATCGTTTTTGTGGGTTTTTCGCTGCAATATAAATATGATGAATTTAACAGGTCTGAGTGCTAGGCAGAGTGCTTCTGCTTAAAAAAGATTACATTTTTTCTTATTTCCTTATATTTTCTGGTGATAGGATTTGCAAGTGATAGTTCTGCAGTAAAGTCAAATATTTTCTGAAATACTGACTTCTGCTGTTGGGAGAGAGAAAATGGAAAGTCCTTGAAAGTTAGGAATTTGTTAGTGTAAATTCCTTAAAAACCAGCATCTAGTCATAGACAAATGAGGGGGTACTAAATTTAAAGATAATTTTTTTAAAAAGAACACAGAAAGCCAGCATAATCTTGGCAAACAAAATAATTGTGTGGTTTATGGTTATACTTAATAAGGCAGAGTATTAGAAAATACTATTACTCATTGTATTCACTTGAAGATGCTGAATTTGTTTGTGTGGGTTACATACCAAGCTGCCAGATTATTGGGCTCTTGGCTACATGATTGGAATTGTGGGTTGCTTTTTTCTTGGGTTTTTGCTTGTATTTTTTTTTTATAAATGATTTCTTAATGGCAGATATTTTCCAGCAAATATGTCTGAGACAGACTAACCTCTCCTGTAGATATTACTGTTCTTACTGTACTTATGCTTAGAGTCACCCTTGCTTCTATTTCTGCAGTAGTAAGGTTCCTCTTAAGTTTAAAAGACCACCTTACCTTACTGCTGTACTCTTTCTGAAAAGCATCATCTGTTGTAGATGCTTCTGTCTGTACCTGCTATTAAAGCCAAGGTGACCAGTCATTAATGTCTCTTCGTTACACCTTGTTTTAGGTACTGATTCCACTTTCTGATAGTTCTCGTCATCGTTTGCACAGTTGTAACCTACCTGGTGTTTGACTTCCTCTAAGATTTTCCCTGCTGACACTTATTATCCTTTAAGTCTGAGTTTTTCAGTACATTTAAAGCTATTTTTAGGAGGAAGTAATTCTTTAAAAACATACAAAAAAAAAAAGCACGTCGCAGTCAAAGGAGCAAGGCAGTTATGAAGATCAAGGAAGAGTGGAATCCCACAAATCCACACTTATAATTATGATCTGGCTTATGGGCAGCTTTATGGTGTTTTTAATGGGATATTTTTCATGATTATAGGGAAAACAGTAAGCAGCATGTAACAGTTATAATTTTTTCTCCCACAGAGAATACAAAGACAACTCAGAAGGTTCCAGCTTCTCTAGACAAGGAAATGTCAAAGTTTTCAGTGAGGGCAGAGTCTCCATGAAGGATTTGTCTTATGAAAGCATGCTTGTACTCTTTTTTTCTTTCTCCACGTATCCATTTACAGACTGTTTTCCTTCCTGCTCCAGAACAGAAAACATATCTGCCCAGACATAAGAATTGCTCCAGTCCTTTCTTCCTCTCCCTCTCTTTTATTGATGCTTAACCAATTTAGTTATGCCAATATTTTATTAAGCCTCTTTTAATTTGTCAGGGCTTAGGCATTAATGAATCTCTTAAATGAGAGTGATCCCAGTGTAGACGCTTCTGGTGATGCACAGCTCCAGTATAAATTTTGTGATCTTCCTTGGAGTAGTTAGAAATTGAATTTGGTATGCTTTAGGCTCTGAAAATGGATCTATGTAATGACAAACTATCCAAAGGAAAAATATTCTATTTCTATATTTGGGAGTTCAGTTGCCCAGTTCTGGTCAACAACATGCAGTGAAAATCTGATTTACAGTGCTGTGTGATTTTAAATTATAACAACCAGTAAAAGGCTGCTGACAGCAGCAGTTGCCTGTAAATACTACCTTATGCTGCTGTTTTTCCAGTCTACATCTTGCCTTACATTGGATTTTTAAAAAGCTATACTTGAAGGGGGGTGATCTGCACATCAACATTGAGATAATTTCCTGTAATTTTTGGAAGTAAATGCTCAGGAGATCTGACTGTTCCTCCACCATCTTGCAGGTAAAATATCACATCCTACTGTGCATGAAGGCAGAATAGTTGCTGTCCATGTCATTTGGAACTGAAAGCCTCATAATTGAACACTTTTTTATTATAATATTTCAACATCCAAGTTAAAGTTCTACTGAATGCTCAGTGTGAGAACTGCATTTTGTGAATCCTTAGACTTCTACTCAATTCTAGGTGTCAGTTTAGGAATGAACAAAATAAATGTGGTATCTGTTCTCATCACTGTTCAGGATGTTTTAGTTTCATAGTTTTCAGTGGGTTCTAAACAGAGGCTTAAATGATGTTCTGGAGGGAGACAACATAATTAAAGCCTGAACATACAGCCTTAATACTTAATTGCTCTTTGTGCTAGGAATTCCTGTTGTGGTGTATTTCACTAGTCAATAATCCTGTAATGACTGAAGAAAAAAACGTTGCTGTGTTGTGTTTAGTTAGGGGAAAAAAAAAATGTATGTTGCTGATGCACATATTTCAGTGTCTTACATCACAGGAAAGAGGTGCTTTAACAAGACAGCAATGTCAGCTGCCCATTTTCCTCTCATTACTCATGTAATCCAGAGCTATTTCTCTGAATGTAAAGCTTCCTGGTGTAGGGAGGCAGCCCAGAGGGGCTGCTGTTCAGAGCCACCTTGGAAAAGATGGGCTACAGAAAAACAGTTCATCCCATCCGAGGCATGAGAAGATGTAACTCTCCTTGGAGAGGGCCTGGATTTTGCATCTCTTTCCCTTGATCTTTCTCTCCTCTACTGGGAATATAGATAAATTACTTAGCTAATTGAATGGGAGAGAGGAAACTTCTTCAGAGTAAACTTCTCTCTAGTGAGCTAATCCAGAAAAACTGTGTTGCTTCCAGCCGGTGCTCTCAGGTATTTTGCAGCAACAGCTCTGCACACAGACTGGTAACTGTGGTGAGGGATGTGTTGCCCTGCTGGTAAGTGGCACAGTGTGTTCAGTAGTTTCTGTTCAACTTGTGCAGGATTAAACTAGTTTTTCTGCATCATGCATAAGGAGCACTAAAAAATCAGCACAAACTCACTAGAAATGAGTTGCAAGCTGGAATAGGAATTAAGGAGTCGGTGTACCTTTAATAGGACTTCAATCTGAGCGGGAGGAGATGATTCACTATCTCTGTAATACAAACCAATTTGTGCTCAGGGAAGATGACTGCGGCTGTAGGTGTGGAGGACAATAGGCACATGGTGCAGGATATTTCCTGCTATCCTGACATCACATAGCTGTGCACTGGACTTTTTCTTCTTAAGGCTAAACTTACAGGAATCAGTAGGAACTGAGCTTTACTCTTTTTAGCTAAATGTTTTGGGGTTTTTTTCTCCCTCATTGCTTTTATCCCTGATTAACATTCTCTGCTCTTTAAGTCTGTTCTTGAATGCAGCCAGAAAGAATCCAACTGTGTATTTTAAAGACCTACATTTTCCATACTTTTTGGTATAAAATACCAACATTGATTTGTTTTTCCAATTATTCATTTTTCTACACAGTGCAGAGAGTTGTTTGTTAAAAGCTGTGTCACTTGTTATTTATTTTCTGTTGGTGTCTATAATCCCACATCATGGGTTTTACTTTATTTAAATCGTACATAGCACCACTTGCCACCCGCTTTTAAAATCCTTTGTTTAACTCTTTTCAAAACAAACAGATTTAAATGTTTTTTCCTTTGATTCTTAGACACTGTCAGGACTGCCAGATCAAGACTCTTTCTACGATGTGGTGGACTGTCTGGAAGAGCTAGGCATTGAAGCTATTTCACAGAGACACTTGAACAAGAAAGGAACAGACTTGGACTTAGTTGAGCAATTTAACATTTATGAGGTAACATAACATGCCCTGTTTTATGCATCTTTCAGCTTGTGCAAACTTCAAAGCTGAGAGGAGGGGGGAAATGTAACCTAGGTGAAATTTGGTTATCTCTCCTATTTTAAAAGAAAAACATCTGGTTGCTGTAAGTAGTAAACACATTTGTATATGTGACCTGCTATGGCACATAGCTGCCTTTAATGCAAAGGCATTTTATGTTAAAGCTGGGGCATAGTCCAAGGCAAACCAGCACATTTACTAGCCTCCTTTCTGCAACTGCTAGTTGCACATGCTGAAGCAAGTAGAAGTTCTTCCCATGTGCAAAAGTATTCAGCGTGTCAAAAAGGTTCGGCTGAGCTCAACATCACAAATACCATTTGTTCTACAACTGAATGTCCAGCAAGTCCCTGTTCAAGAGTTTACACTGGACCAGATCCTATGCAGTTTGCAGCAATGGAGTAATGAGTGACTCCACATTTACCACCTAGGTATAAAATAACTACTTCTGAAGCAATTTATATGCAGCGGTAGGATATCCAGTTTCTTAATAATTAGCCTTTTTTTCAGACTGTGGGAAGTGTTGGAGCTAGGAGGTTTAGGCTGAAGTTGTAATGTAAATATGAATTAGTGTTCTAGTGTGAAAAAATTAAATTACTTCATCTCTGCCTAAGTCCAGCGAAGGATTTGATAGATTTGATTCTCCATTTTCTCCATCAATTCTACTCCCATACCACTTCGCTAACTAGCAGAGTTAAGCTTTATATACAGCAATTTTTAGGAAAAACAAGAGAATGAGAAGGCTTAATAATGTTCTTTCTTTTTCTATCATCAGAGGCATCATCTTATAAAGCCCTTTTTAAAATATAATAATTAATCTTAAAAGGATGGATTGTTTTTTGTGCATGCTGCACCTACTGAAAGACTTAATTGTAGAATTGGCAGTTGACTTGGTTGGGTGCCAGCTTTTTCTTGATGACCAAATTAAATTTAAACATGTCTATGCAGGTTCTTCCTTTTGTCTGTCAATCCTGTTCTTTTACCTGAAAAATCTTTTTCCTGACAGAAACAGATTCTACACCCCAAGCAGAGTTATCTCGCTTCCCCCTTTGTTTTGTTTTTTTTTTAAATCTTCTGGTAATAATTACCAGAGTAACAAGACTAATAGAAGACAGGCATTCTTCTGATGACATACATTGCCCTTTCTATACCTCTGCCTGTTGGAGTGGATCTTTCTCATACAATGATTATTTAAATGTTAGGCTGCATTTCAGATGCAGAGTGACTAGTTACTATGTTGTTTCTGCCAGGGGTATCTCATGTACCATAAGATAACACTTTGTTTCTATTAGAGGTACCTCACATTGGCCCATCAGGGGCATGCAGCAGTTTCAGATATTTGGCATTGCACCCATGCTTTAGTCCTCTTCTATTTCCGGCACACTCTAGACCGTAACTTCCACTTAATCACTACAACTTTCATGTCTGAACATGAGGAAATGTTGAATCTGTCAATGCATGGAGTTTTTTCCTGTTGACTTAACTAGAACCAAGTCTTCACCTAAGTATTTTGAGTGGATATAAAGAGAAGTAGTTGTCCAAGACTGCTCAGCTTCCTTGAAAATTCAGTCCCACATTAAAAAGAAAACAGATTAGGAGATATATAAATGTGTTGTTATAGTGTTGTATGCAAGGCATTAGTGTATAATTCCAGTGTTAGAGCTGCCACACTGCACTAACGAGTAGACAGCAACTTTCAGGGGTAGCTGTAGAAACAGCGATGCTAATAGGATTTAATAGTGTTGAGACCAGGCAATTTTTAAGCCTAGGTGTGAAGACCTGTGGCAGCTGAAGCGACCGTGTCAGCCTTCTTCCTCTCTTTCTCAGGTGACTCTGAGGCATGAAGATGGAGATGAGAGTGCTGAGCCCCCTCCCAGTGGGCGCAAGGATCGGAGGAGGGCCAGCCTTGGTGCTGGCGAGCGCAGGGGGCTGGAGCGCAGGCGGAGCCGGAGGCACTCGGCACAGAACGTCAAGAGCACTTTGTCGGCCCCCGCCAGCCCCTGCGGGCAGTCGAGCTTCGTGCTGAGCCATGAGCAGCGCGTGGAAGAGCTCAGTGAGAGGTAAGGCAGGAGCTGAGTGATACTTCTTTCTTCTCCCATTACTTTCTGTCCGTTGCACTTGATTAATATGAAAGGCTTTTCTTTATCTTCCTCTTTTCACTGAAATAAAAATGAAAAAAAAACAAAAGCATATTTAGAGTTGAAATACCAGCGCAAAAAAGGAAACGGATTTAGAGGTGACTTACCTACATAGCTAAATTCTTCGGCACCATCCACTAAGTAAGTGGACCCAAACCACATGAGATAAAGCATTTGGTGTGAGAACTAACTCAGCTTAATTTCATCCACTTGTAGATTTTATATTCACTATGTCCACATAACAGAAAATTGTAACAAGAGCGTGGTAATGTTAATTCAGAGCTATTTGTCCTGTATATGTTACAGTTCATTCTTATTTTTTTTCCTCCTCTTCATTCCAGCATAAATATTTGCCTTTGAAGCTACATCATAGTAGTGAATATATCTAATATTTTATAATTAGCAAAACAGAGGCACTAATGGCTAGCTGAGCACAGTCTGCAACAGTGGAGTTAGTTGAAGATGGTGTCTTTGCCAGTCCTATGATGGTTGGCTTAGGCTGTGTGTGCTTAGGAAAAATAGGAGCTTCAGATCCTCAGCGTGTCTGACTGCTGCTCAGGAGGGCTGGAAGTAATTTCACCCAAATTAGATGTCTGATCAGGTCTCCCCTCTTTGATGTCAGTGGAGTGCAGCAAGCACTGGTGGGCCTTCAGTTATCTAATGTGCTGTACACGCCTGAAATTTCAACCGAGAAGAGTCAAGCTCTGAGACTGGCTGTTTGTTGACTCTAAGGGAATCTGGCTACCTAGCTCAGATGGTGAAACATAAGCTGCAGACAGCAAAAGCTGGACACTGTCATCTCACTGCTGAAGATGCAGTCTGAAAAACTGAAGTGTGGTCTGTACAAGAGCATATCTCGTATTAATTATAACTTTTGGGAAATTCATTGAAGATTTCTTTTGGTTAACAGGGGATGTAAACTTAGAGCCTTAAAATCCTATGTTGCATGTAAAGCACTCTTCTTGAAAAGAGAGCTGGGTTGACTAAAGTTTAATCTGGCAATATCAAAATGTAAGACTCCAGATAACTGAAACAGTAGTTGCATGTTGTATACCACAAAAATAGCACTTTATTTTCTTTGTATTTTCTTTTTTTCTTTTTGGTATTCAACAGTACATTAATATTTGTTTTCCATCACCTTCTGTGGCCTGGTCTTTAGTGGGCTGACAGCTGAGAGCGCCATGGTCTTACAGACTGAAAAGAAGGATGACAGTGCATTTGAGGATGAGTTTAAAGCATTTTCAGTGTGAGTGCAGCTGGGAGCTTCAGCTGCTCTGCATGGGATACCTTGTGCATGACCTTGGGCCCTGCTTCAGGACTTAACAATATGACTGGGAATCTGTAGCCGTGGATGTGGAACAGATATTTATGATTATATGATTTATACAGGGTTTTTTTGTTGAACTGATGAATTTGGATTAGAAAGGAGGAGATGCTTCAACTCTGCAGAAATCTTTCCCTTACTGTTAATTAATTAAACAAATAGAAGCCATCCAGGACAACAACTTCTACCAATATGTTTTCTCACTATTACTGTGTGTGCTTGCTAGGTTTATTTTGCAGTCTTCAGTAACTTTTAATAAATGTGTGTGTGAGCTAATTTTTAGTGGGAATAGAATAGAGGGAATAAAAACACAACAGATTCGTTTCAGAAGCTCTTTGAAGTATTTTTAAACCAACATAACATAATTTCAATAATCGTGCTTTTCTGCAAAAAAAATTATCCAGTTCTGCTCCACGGCTCTTTGTCAGTGACATATTTAAAGCATAATTTAAGTTTAAATACAAGAAAAAAGTCTGTATCTAAGAAGTCAATTTTAATTTCATGTTACTGTTATCTTCTGTAGGAAAATAATTAAATTCTTTTCGATTCCATTTAGAATGGAATCTTCCCAACTTGCTCACCAGGCTCTGTAAGGAAACAGGCATTCAATTATGAATGTGTGTAATTCTGATCTTTGCATGTTAGTTAAATAAAAATACTGCCTCAGCCTCCACCCCCATTCTCCAGTCCTCTTAGCAGTTAAAGACAGGGAATATTATTTGTAGCTGGCAAATCAGATTTTTTTCCCATGGGACATTAAAGACTACAAAGTATGTTCAGGATTTGAGGATGCAAGCTCTGTGCTCAGTGAAATTGTTTAAGTTACCATGAAAAGAAGTTAATCAACTGTTGGATCTTCTATAATTCTTATTTTTTTGGTAGTGTTTCTGGTAAACAAGCTTTTCAAATAAGCAGATTCTGTCCTTCACATTTTTAGATTCATTATCTGCCCAAATCTGTAGTTGTGGTAGGAAGAGGAAAAACAGCCTCCCTGCAGTATTGTGTTCCAGTAAGTCTCAACTTTCAGTGAAATAGTCCAGATGTGTGCAACAGTATCTCTACACCTGATTGCTAAACTAAGACAAAAAAAAAAAAAAAAAGGAAAAGCCTTATGGCTTCTATTCATGAATGTTTAGGAAAAAAGTAGTGAAGTTGAGTGAGTACTTTAAGGTTTTTACACATTTATAGAATTTGAATTAGACTTAAATGGAAAGAGGTTTTCTGGAATCAAATTTTCAAATTTGAGCACATGGTCTTCAATGCAAGATGTTTATTGGTTTAAAGGACTTGAATAGAGCATCATAAGTTTAGATCTTGTGGCAATTTGTATTGAAATTTTAAAATCCTGTGTTAGAATATGATGCAGGCATCACCTGATTTTGTCAAAATAAATGCTTATTATGACCCTGCTGCTTCCATTGTTAATGTTGTAGAGAGGAATCTCTCAAATCATATCATCATCATACAAATCATACAAATGGATAAAGAGGAATCATACAAATGGATAAAAATTACTTATTACCTTTGTAAATTGAAAATCACTTCTGTTCAGCCATGAAAGAACTGTCTCCTGCTAATGACCTTTTGGTTCATAACTCTGGACCCTCTTGAGAAAGGAAAAAAATTTGGCAGTAAGTTTTTGCAGTGCTGTATTTCCCAAAAAATAATTATGAAATTAATTTCAGTCTTTATTTCTTCACTACATTTTCTTTCCCGGTAGGAATTGTAACGATATTGACAATAATCTTACTGTATTGTTCCTGCTGAAAGTTCTAAACTACGTGTGTGGTTGCAGATGTCTTATGTCTGGTTTTACAGTAGATTAGACCCAATGGAATTGCTTCTGATGGCGGTTAGAGATTGAAGTCGCACTCTTACACTGTACTAAATTTTATTTTGGGAAGTATTCTAACTTATTTTTGGACTTCTGCACCAAAATCAGTAGAAGGTTCAAGTTCTTTCCCATCATTCTCCTTCCCACCATGTTCGTGTTTCTTTTGTTTCTAGCTCGTCAGCTGTTTTGGCTAGTGCTTTGCTTTTGTTTACCACATCAAACAGGTTGTCCACAGTCATCTGCTTTGTGTCAACCGATAAGTCTTCCAAAAAGAGAGAAATTCATGGTGCTGGTAAAACAACCAAAAAAAAAGACAATATTGGCCAGGTTCTGTTCTGTCTCACAATGCTCTATATCCAGAAAAGTTGTCTGAAGTCAATGGAGTTGGTCTGATCTACGCCAGGCTAATTGAGAGCAGACTTTGGGTTTTGAGCTGGGAAAAGTTGACTGTAAATGCTAAGGGCGACCAAAACGAAAACTTGCAGGCCTTTTTCATCCACTTGGCAGCCTTTTTCCAAACTAAATGTATTGTTTTTTTGCCTGTGGTTCAAAGCAAATAAGGATCCAAATCTGCTTTGTGTTAAAATAGTTTTCATGGCGAGCAAAGCCCAGCCTGATGTGCTTGTAACTAAATAAATAAGTAACGAAGTTGATAACAGCTATTAACTAAGAAATACTGAAGGTTGATTTAAAGGTCTGTCTGTACTGCAGCATACTTTAAGATGCCTGTCCTGACCAGCAGCAGGTCTGCTTTGCTAAAAGTTCCCTGTCTTACCAAAATGGCATAGAGCACCAATAAGCCTGGCAGGAACTTCAGTCTTGTTAACATAATGTTTTAAATAGTGTGCTGGAGGTACCTCCTAAGGTTTTCTGCCCTGGTCCAGACTGAGTGCTCTCAGTCTGTGGTCTAGCATGCTGCTTCTTATGCAGTAGACTTTTAAACACATTCTTCCATGGATTGCGTTGTTTGTTTGGTTTTTTTTTCCTTTTTAAAGTAAAGCTAGTTTTTTCCAGCCACACCATGGATAAAGTCAGGGAAAAAATGTAAGGAGTGGCATGGAATTTGCACTAGATTTATGTTGTTATTGTATGCAGTGATTTCTGGCTAAATAAGCATTAAAAAGCAAATTTCTGTCTCTCTGTCTTTCAGTCTCATCCTGACTGGGTTTCAGAGAGTAAAAGGCAGCCTGCCTCAGAAGTTCTCATTGCTGTCTTGAGCGCTGCACAGCTTCTCTGAGAAACAAATGTACAGCTTCTCCGAGAAACAAATGCTCCTCACAGTTTTTCAAATTAATGTTTCACATTTAGCTGTACATTTCTCTTTCTTCAGTACTTTCTTCAGTACTACGCAGAGACCATACTCATCTCTCACCCTGGCTGTCCCATCAGAGCCATGTCATCCGGTCCTTAGCAGATACATTCAAGTGAGCTTCTGGAAGATTTACTCTGACATCTCTTACCAGCATTTGAGTGAATGGCTCCATCACTATGGAATTAGCTACAGTCAAAGACTGAGATTTATGAAGTTGTGAATAGCTAGAATTAGGTATTTACGTCTCTTTACTAGAGTCTCTGCTTTTTATATCCATAGCTTTGATTTGTTTTGTATTATCAAAAACCACCAAAGAATTGCTAAGATTGTTCTTACAGCACTAAATATGTTCATCTAGATATAACCCAGCCTTGGTTAGAGCTTTCCTGTCAGTATTCCCATTTTTGACACCTAGAAAGTGAAAGAGCTGACTGCCGTCTCAAGAACTTACC